CTTCCTTCTCTGACCCAGACAGACCTGGAACTGAAATAGGTCTTTGAGCCTGAGTTAAACTCCCTGAGCAGGTACTCCCAGCTGGGCCCAAGTGATGTGAGCAGCAGAGTCTGGGGGACTGTTGGAGCCATTTTCCCTTCAAATGGCTTTATTTCTGACCTGCAAAATTGAAAGAAGGAGAGAAGTGCTCTCAGGTCTCACTCACTGCAGAGAACTGAACAGCTCCAAGCTCAGAACTGAGTCCCAGCTTTACTCAAATCCCTTCTTCAAATATGATTCTTCTGCTCATACAGTTGGACATCAAGTTATGCTCAGGAAAAGGCAAAAGACCAAAATATTCAAAGTATTAAGTTGTGTTTTACCCTGAGTGGTGCAAATGAGGCTCAGTAGTTCTGATCTGACATAGAGAGATGGAGATTCAAAGTAAATTCACTTCTGTGGAGTCTTGAAAGTTCTCTTGGATAACCAAAATTATCAAAAATAATTTATAGACTTGCTCAGTTATTCCAGATTTTTCAATGTTCACAGAAGTGTCAAATATTCAGACTCCACAGAAATTGATATAATTTAATTATTTCAATTTAATACCCAATTATCCTCTGGTATCTATAGGTGCTTTATTTCAGAGACAGAACTCTTTCAGAACGTGCAGAGGAAGAAAAACTAAAGCTACATATCTAAGGTAGAACTAAGTATATTGAAATCACTTTTCATGCATTTTTTAAATGTTAATTTTGTGTGAAGTATTTACACCATTTCCCCACACCTATGAATAAATAATCCCACTCCTGTGAGTGTATTATTTGTGTGCACAGGGAAAAGCAGAGCCATGAATCCTAATTCTCTTCTGCATCATCCAGCAGGCTCCAAACACCCAGCAGGCAGGAGAAGTGGAATAAATATTCCCCAGAAGTGGAATAAAGTTTATTTCTGAGGGAGGGCATTTTGGAAAATCCAGGTGGTAGCTGATTCCACCACACTGTGTTTTATTGTTAAATTGTTCTCTCCTGGGTGGGTTGACTAGTCTTGTGAGGAATTACTTAAGTTGTCATTTTAGGGACCTTCAGAACAAGAAAAAAATAAGCTTCTTATGGCAAGAAGTCGATGGGAACGATGATAAAAGTCACTGCTTGGGCAGTGCAAGGAAAAACAGGAATTCTGTGGTCCCAATATTATGGAGAAATGAGAAAAAGGAGCAGGGAACACTTTCCATGCTGGTCATGGTGATCAGAGAAGATTAGAAGGGTTGAGCTGTTTAAGAAACCATTAAGGGCTGTGTGTGATGGGGCTGCTTTTGGCCAAAGCCAAGCACTGAAAGGTAAAGTCCAGTTTTCAAGGCCCTGCAAGATGAAAGAGGAAGAAATTGGGAGAGAAAACAAATTACAAGAGCCATTGTGAGTGCCCTGGCCTGGTGGAAGGTGTCCCTGCCCATGGCAGGGGGTGGAATGGGGTGAGATTTAAGATTCCTTCCAACCCAAACCATCCTGTGATTCCATAAATCCATGACCCTGTGAATTCTCCTACGTACAGGAGGCATCAAACAAGAGCTCTGTGTTCTTTCACCTTGCCAGAAAGGTGTGTGAGCACAACTTCTCCTGCTGTTTCCTTTCTCTGTCCCCTTTTCCCCTCAAGTTCGTGCCCGGGATCTCTGTGACAATTGTTGTCTGGGTAAGAGGTTAAATGACAAAAAAAACATCTCCTGGATGCACATCCTCCCTTCTTTCTAAAAGCTGCATTTTAAAATATATGTTTAAAGCACATACATTGAGTTTGGGGTGCAGTTGGTGGCCCTGCAGTGGGATGCAAAGGTTGTGTGAGGTGAGACTAATCTTTCTGTCCCTCAAGTGACATATTTCAGGAATAGAACAAATATTCAACTGCCTGTATCCAACTGCTGCATCCTCAGACTCCTGTTCTTCCAAAGAATAAAATGCCTGAGCCACTCGTGGTGCTGATGTTCTGCTGAGGGCAGTGGGGACCCCTCTCCCAGTTTTAATGGGCCCAAGGTATCCCCTCATGTCTCATCACTCTGTCCCTGTGTCACACAGGCTGGGCACAGGTAAGGAGCACTCAGGGAACAGCCTGAATGAAAACAGAACAGGGGGAAAAAATAGATTCTGAGCTGTCTGGGGGCCAGATTAAATTTAGCACAAGAGCCCAGCAAAGGAGAGAAACTGTACCAGTTGGGCTGCTGATGGCTCTGCTTAATCTCCCTCGTGCTGACCATTCCTGCCTCCTTCTTCCTGCAGGAATTGTTGGGAAAAAGAGGAATGAGGGACAATATTTATGTAAGAGTGAGGGGGAGGAGGAGGGAAGCACCAAGTGTTGATTTGCTGGGGGTGGAAGAGGCAGCCCTAACTCAGCACTGATTGCAAACTGAGAGAGAGGAGGTTTGGAAGAGATATTAGAAAAAATTCT